ATTTTTAGTAGAGACAGGGTTTCACCGTGTTAGCCAGGATGGTCTCGATCTCCTGACCTCGTGATCCACCCGCCTCGGCCTCCCAAAGTGCTGAGATTACAGGCGTGAGCCACCAACGCCCAGCCAAATTCTTGTTGTTTTAAACTACCTAGTTTGTGGTACTTTGTTACAACAACCCTGGGAAACAAATACACCTTCCTTGTTATCCACATGAAAAGATATTCTAGAGTCACTTTGTCTTATTTTAGTCAATAATTGGTAATTTGCTTGGTTTAAACATTTTTTTATCCCAGTCCTAGAGTCATTATTCCTTGGAAAATAGTATTTCAAGATAATGATCTGGGAGCAAGAGGTGCCCCCAAATACTGGAGCACTGGACTGGTCATTGTTTGTTTTAGCTTTCTGGGGACAAATATATTTTATAAGATGAAACTTTGAGTTTGGGTGGTGGTGGTTGTTGTTCAGAAAAGACATTTCCTGCTCTTGACCTGGAATCAGAATCAGACATTTCTCCACAAAGCACTGGTCTTAAAATCTTATAATTTAGGTACCTAGTGTACTCATTACTACCGTGCTGGTCATTGTTTCTAGGCCTCTTCAGAGCCAGCAGGGAATTTTGACAAAATTCACCAAGATACTTCTAATTCAAATTCAGGACTACAGAATTTGTACTTATCCTCCTGTACCTTACATCTGCATCTTCTCTCTCCCATATGATAAAGAGATTAGCATTATGAACCAGGAGACTGAGTAAATAAGATTGCCCTCAACAATGCAGGTAGGCCTTATCCAACCTATTGAGGGCCTGGTTCTCAAGAACAATTGAGATTAGATAATTAGAACATAATATAATTACTCATATTCTTTAACCCATATTTCACATAAAATTACCAAAATATATTTCCAAACATTATCACCAACAGTACAAATACTAACAACACTTAAATTTTTTTGGACATTTCTTTTTATCCTTAAAAATATCCCACTATGGGTATCTAGTCAAATTATTGTGTTTGAAAGTCACTTGAAAAAGTTCTTTGTGCGTTACGTAACATCTGGTTAAGTTACTTAATTTTTAGATTGGGGAATTGTTTTTCAAAATTTAAGTTTTTAAAAACTAAGTAAAGTATGTGTTTTCAGTCAAATCTAAAAAACAAAACTACATTTAAATAACTCTTTTTTTTCTGTCTTCTCCACACTCTTCTCTCCCAGTCCTTATAGGTAACCTTTAAAGATATATACATATGGTTTATATTTCCTTTTTTTTTTTTTTTTGAGAGGGTGTCAGGCTCTGTCACCCAGGCTGGAGTGCAGTGGTATGACCTCAGATAACTGTAACTTTCACCTCCCTGGTTCAAGTGATTTTCCTGCCTCAGCCTCCCAAGTAGCTGGGATTTCAGATGCTTGCCACCGTGCCCAGTTAATTTTTGTATTTTTAGTAGAGACAATGTTTTGCCATGTTGACCAGGCTGGTCTTGAACTTCTGACCTCAGGTGATCTGCCCTCCTTAGCCTCCCAAAGTGCTAGGATTACACGTGTGAGCCACCGTGCCTGGCCATATTTCCTTTTAAAAAAAAAAGTAGTAGTAAGCAAGTATATTACACACATTTTTGTATTTTCTCTTTTCTTAAATGGAGGCAAAGAATACTTTTCTACATCTAACTTTTTTCATTCAGCATTATATTCCAAAGATCATTCCATAGTGGGTATATATATACATTCCTTATTTCTTCTTCCAGCTGCACAGTATTCACCTGTGTGCATGTACTATAGTTTATTCAACCAGCCTCCTTATATGGACATGTGGGACACGGACATATTATACAATCTTCTTATATAAAATATTTACTTTTTTGGGGGGTGAGATGGGTGTTAATGCAGTCCTACAATGAATAGTCTGGGGCAAATATCTTTTCTTATAAAAATAAGAAAAGATATATGTATTTGTGGCACAGAGTCCTAGATTTGGCATTGCTAGGTCAATGGGCAAATTCATTCATAACTTTTACTACATATAGTTGGGCACACGTGTAACTAAGCAATCTGATATATTTAATCAATAAATCAGCTTTCAGCTTAAGGAATCATCTCATTATATTAACATACAAAAATTATGCTGTGGGCCAGGCGCGGTGGCTCACGCCTGTAATCCCAGCACTTTGGAAGGTCGAGGTAGGTGGATCACAAGGTCAGGAGTTCAAGACCAGCCTAGCCAAGATGGTGAAACCCCATCTCTACTAAAAATACAAAAATTAGCAGGGCACGGTGGCAGGCGCCTATAATCCCAGCTACTTGGGAGGCTGACACAGGAGAATTGCTTGAATCCAGGGGGCAGAGGTTTCAGTGAGCCAAGGTCGAGCCACTGCACTCTAGCCTGGGCAACAGAGTAAGACTCCATCTCAAAACAAAAACAAAAACAAAAACAAACGCTGTGTACTTATAACCAGCTCAAGTCTGGCTGCTCATTGCTCAGAGGCTGAAAACATGAGAAGCGACATGTAGTGAAAGGATAGCAACTTTATTCAAATATTAGCAGTTGGGGGATGGACAGGCTCATGCCTTTAACAGATCACTCCAACTTTTTGGGCTGAGTGAAGGGGTTTAAGAAGCAAAAAGGTGTAGGAAATATGCAGGAGTAGCGCAGGAAGGTGTAGTTCTGTGTGCCTTCTTCTGATGGCCATCTTCAGTGACCGCCTGCCTGGAGGCCCAGTTCACGTCATATGACCTCAGCTGGTAGTGCTGGACTAATGGTTCCTAATCCCCCTTGAGCAGGAGGATTCTGCAGTTGGGGTCTCTCCCTCTAGTTTGTTTCAAAATTGGCCCCTGGAATTTTTAAGCAAGCACATCAGTAAGATAAGTGCGCCCTGTTCTCAGAAGGGGCTGGTGGGAAAGGGACAAACAAAGTTTCAAAGTATGTTTCAAGGCTGAAAGCAAGCAAGCAAGAAAAAACAAGTTTTAAAATGCATTGTGAGGCTGGGATGCTGTTACATATTCACCACCTGAGTTATCAAAATTTGGCTAAGCTTCTTGTAAAGTAAGCATTGGCCACCGACATCATTATTAAAAAAAATTTTTTTTGAGACAGGGTCTCGCTCTGTCTCCCAGGCTGGAATACAGTGGTGCAGTCTTGGCTCACTGCAGCCTCCGCTTCCTGGGTTCAAGTGATTCTTGTGCCTCAGCCTCCTGAGTAGTCGGGAATACAGGTATGCACCAGCATACCCAGCTCATTTTTGTATTTTTAGTAGAGATAGGTTTTCACCATGTTGGCCAGGATGGTCTCAAACTTCTGACCTCAAGTGATCCACCCACCTCATCCTCCCAAAGTGCTGGGATTACTGACGTGAGCCACCACTCCTAGCTGTTGTTGTTTGTTTGAGACAGTCTGTTTCCAGCTCTGGTGCCCAGGCACGATCTTGGTTCACTGCAACCTCTGCCTCCCAAGTAGCTGGGATTACAGGCACATGCCACCACACCCCGCCCCGCGAATTTTGAGCATTTTTAGTAGACATAGGGTTTCGCCATGTTGGCCAGGCTGGTCTTGAACTCCTGGCCTCAAGTGATCTGCCTCCCTCAGCCTCCCAAAGTGCTAGGATTACAGGCATGAACCACAACACACAGCCATCATTATTAAAATATAATGGTAGTGTTCTACAAAGTGAGTTAAGAACATCTTTCCCCAGCTTTGATGATACTGGTGTAGCTGTTACAGTTACCATTAATAATAAAACACCCACCAAATACTTGTCAGAGCACTTCCTAGTACCTTTGATCTTCCAACAACGATAGGTGATGGTGATTATTTCACCTTATTGACACAGAGAGAATCATGGCACAATGTCACACAGGAATTTAGTGGCAAGAGTCAAACCTGATTCCACCAAAACTCCACACCAAGTTAACTCATTTTTGCTAAAAACTACAAGCTGGTCTACACTTTGTTCTACAGAAAATAACTTAGAGCTGGTTGGTGTTTTAAGGAATGAAGTAGCAATTTCAAACTAAGTTACAACAGACAAAGACAATTTTAAAAGATTTTTAAAAATCTCTTCATCACATGTATCGAACTGATTTGTGTGGTCACCAATTTCTTCTTATAGCCACCACCAAAAATTTGTGCATGGGAAAATCGGCAGTTTCTTTGAAAATGACAGAAACATAGGTGAAATCTGAATGCAGTATAATTTTTTTTTTTGGTAGGACTGAAATATGTATGCTTTCAGCAGCTTAAATGAATGCTATGACTATGCACTACCCTTTAAAACAAGAACTTTCATTAAGATTAGTAAACTTGCTGGCGTGGCTTTCAGCTGTAATCCCAGCACTTTGGGAGGCCAAGGCAGGTGGATCACCCGAGGTCAGGAGTTCGAAACCAGCCTGGCCAACAATGGTGAAACCCCGTCTCTACCAAAACTACAAAAATAAGCTGGCGTGGTGGCGTGAGTCTGCAATTCCAGTTACTCGGAAAGCTGAGGCAGAAGAATAACTTGAACCCATGAGGCAGAGGCTGCAGTAAGCCGAGATCACACCACTGCACTCCAGTCTGGATGACAGAGCGAGACTATGTCTCAAAAAGAAAGAAAGAAAGACAAACAAACAAACAAAAAGAAATGATTAGTAAGCTCGAGGCATCTTTCTTCTTCAATTTTGTATCCTCCCAAAGTGCCCAATACTACTGAGCATGAGGACCTAAATAGGCTTCAAAACTAGTTGTGTTTTTTTCTTTCTTCACTATTTAAGAAAATGGAGTTTGATCACGAGATATTAGTTTAAGCCAATTTCCACAATCTTTTTAGACTCTGTTCTTTCTTGGCATTGTTGCTAAAATAGTCATTTGGACAGTTAAATACTTAAATGTTTGGACATAGAAGGTTTGGTGTCATTTTGTGGATGGTATAACAAAATTTATACATTGATTTTTTTCCCTTTTCTTCTCTTGTTTTACAGTTATCTACTGTTTAGGCTGCATATTAAAAGAAAGACGCAACATTTTTATCTCCCAATATAAATCATTTTGAAGTTAAAAACACACACACAAACATTCATCACAAAGAGAGGACTGTTATGTATCTATCTAAGTACATGGCTGCTACAAAGTATGAGATCAAACAGCAAATCCTGTATAAATGTTTTATATAGTAGAAAGAGCTGTTAAAGTTAGAAATGTCATTCAAGCTGTAGGAGACCAACAATAAAAAGTTCAGATAGAAACAATTTACATATGATGCTAAATGTAATCTCACTTGGGAGTTTCCTCTCACAAATTTTCAGCTTTGCGAATTAAAAGGCTGCAGCTTCTAAGTATTCAGTCCTACAATTTTCGTGAAAGAACAGAAAATATTTCTTTCTGAAACTAAACTGGATGGCACACATATGTTGCAATGAAGGCATATAACAGCTGTTGAGGGACTGGGAAACCAATATATTGGAATGGAATCCATGATGGCTAGATGCCAGACACACAAGCAATCTAAGTTCCTGGGTAAATATTAACCAAGTGCTTAGGTCTTTTTGCAATCTAGGTGTAAAGACAGACGCCAACTCAGAGCCTCCAGGGAGTCTGATGGTCTTAAGGAGGCCAAGACTGGGTTTTCCACCATTTTAATCCAATAACTACATTCCATTATTTCACAGATTAAATCTGTGAAGAGCAAACCTCATAGCTTCTCTTCCATGTCCTGTTTGCAGTGGTATTAACTTTAATTGATGGCAAAACTACTCAACCATTTAGTCAAGAATACCAAATAGTAGGGAAGAAAACTGGGTGGAAAGTGAATGATTCCAGGTGCAAAGCGTTTGGGAGTATGTATACAGAGACGCAACAAGTAGTCCTCTCAATACGTAGTAAAACTTACCAGGAATGGTATCGTTTAGTGTAACTTTTCGGTTTGTCACTTGAATATTAAATGAATTACAAATGTTGATAGAATCATAATTTTATATAATATACCAAGAATACTGATTTCCTGTGATTTTTTTTCTTTAAGTGTCCCAGACCATGAAGCTGTACAGGAAACTGGGAAGCAACTAAGGGTTAAGAGGCGAACGGACTTGGCGTGAAAAGAAATCTCAAGGTTCATAGATATTCTCTACACCCATTCACAATCCCCCATTTTCTGGGTATTCAAGGCCTCTGGTTTCTCTAATCCCTTTCTTCAAGTCTTGGCAGGATGCATTTTTTTCCCTCTCTGGTAAGACGCCTTTGATATTTTTCAAATCCGGTTTCACCAGCACAGAACTTTGACATTTCGTTTTGCTTTGTCTCTGGAAGACAAACTCCCTCACTCATCCAAGCGACATTTCAAGTCCCTCAAAATTCCCAGGGACAAGAAAATTAGGTACTATGAATTCTGCCTTCCAAACAGCATTCTCTGTTCCGCTTGCAATGTCGATATAAAGGCAGGATTGGCTTGGGCAGAATAGGTCAAAAGCTTATTGAATTGCACACGGAACACAGCCTGCTTGCTCTCTTATAGCGAGAGGCCATGAGAGTTGCTGGGTCAAGGGCATGCATTTCAATGTGATCAGTCACTATACGTTGGCCATGCGGAGTCGCAGTATTTTGGCAATATTTTTAAAAACCAGGGAAAGTTACTGTGCTGTTATAATTCAAAGGCTGGTGGGGTTTTCTTCCCCTCCGCATCTCCACTAGCGTGATAAATTAAAGTACGTGGGCTAGTAGAGAACTAACCTCTGGGCAACTTAAGCCTAGTCCTCGCAGCGTACCCAGTGTGGAAACAAACGAATCAGAGGTTACTAATTCTGGAATGTTAAAAGTGGGCCCCGATCGGCTTTTACTCCCTTTGGGAAATCCTATACAATTCTGCGCGCGAAAGACCCACCCTCGGTGAGGCGCGAAAGCCGAGAAGCTTATAGTCAAAGCCTCGCTGACAAATCAAGAGATGACTCCGCATTTAAAACCTTTCCGAATAGGAACGCGCCAGAGGCCGGAAGCTACGCCACGTGACCAATCCCTCCTCCGCGGCCATTCCTAGTGAGGCAGTAGGCACCGCCTCTGTCACATTTCCTAGCTCCTACAGCGCGGGACCGGGCGGAAACGTGCGACAGGAGGCGGTCCCACCTAGCTTCGGAGTGTCACTAGAACTCGCGTCTTTTCCAGCAATGCTTTGCAAGTACTTCACCGCAAAGAACTGCCGCAGACTTCCGCCTGGGTGCCAACCACGTGATCACGCGAGCGTTGGAGAGGCGTAGGTCCGACTACACTAGTTCACTCCCCGGGCTCCGCCAGCCCAGCACTCGCCACGGCGCGTGACAACGCGGCTCGCGGCGGCCTCCGCCCCGGCGCGCCTGCGCACGCGGCTCTCGCGGTGTCTCGCGCTCAGCCCCGCCCACATCTGCCCCCGCCCTTTCCGCCCCTCCCTCCCCCTTCACCCTGTTTCTCGGCGGCGGCGGCGGCGGTGGCGGCTCGCGCAGCTTGTTGGCTCGCTATATAAAGGAGAGAAGCGGGCGGACCGGACGGCTGGAGCTGCAGCCGGTGGCGGCAGCGGCGGCGCAGGGAGCGGCGACCGGTGGTGGTTTCCCTCCTTGGCGCGGGGTGGGGAGCGGGCAACGCCCCCCGGACCCCTAAAGGGTCGTGGCTTTTTTTTTTTAAAGGCGATTCTCGAGGTTTTTAGCTGCGGGAGGAGTGCCCCCCTCCTCCTCTCTCCGCTCTCCCTTACTCCTTCAGGATTGATTTTGTTTAAAATTTTTTCCCCAATCTTGCGGTGATTTGGGTCACCCTCCGGGTGTTTTAGTTTTTTTTTTTTTTTTTTTGGTTTTGTTTTTATCTTGTTTTCTTGGGGTTGTCCCCTCTTGTTTGTGTTGTGTGTGGAAATGGCGAACTCGGCAAATACAAACACCGTGGTAAGGACGTGGTTCGGTGGCCGGCGGGGGCTTCGTTCAGGCGGCAGCAACGGCCGGACCGGGCGGGGGCGGGGACGGCGGCGACTCCCGGCCTCGACTCTTCAGCCGTCCGCGCGGCCGCCGCCGCCGCCGCCGCTTCCCGCCTCGGGCGGATCGGGCTGGAGCGCCGGGCGGCGGGCGCGGGGGGGCGCCGAGGGCTCGCGGCGCGGGGAGGGCAGAGCGCCGGCGAGGCTGGGCCATGCAAAAAGACCCCAGGCTCCAGGCCGCATGGCGGTTGACCCCAGGCAGGCGTCTGCAGCCCCAGCCCCAGAACCACAGCCGCCAGGAGGGGAGGGCGGGAGAGGCGCCGCTTCCCCCGAGGGAGCCGTCCGTGCTGGCTTGACGAGGGCTCCCGATGGCTGCAGAACAAAGAAACAATGTCTACAGAATCGGGCAGACCCCGAGACCACCGTGATCCACTTTAATGCAGTGGAAGAATAATGGGGCCTGGGGCCGCCGCGGGCCGGGCCGGGCCGCGGAGGCGGTTGGGCCCGGGCGGGCGTGCAGCCCCGGCCCCAGAACCCGGCCGCCGGGAGGGAGGGCGGGAGGGGAGCCGCCGCTTCCCCCCGAGGGGCCCGTCCGTGCTGGCTTGACGAGGGCTCCCCGAGCGGCTGCAGAACAAAAACCGTGTCTGGGGAATCGGGCGAACCCCCGAGACCCACCGTGATCCACTTTAATGCAGTGGAAGAATAATGATTACTTGGGGGTTACTTAGGTTTTTTCTGGCTGTTGTGCTTTGGGAACCTTCACTGGGGCCATTTTATGTTTAAAAAAAGGACGAAGGTTGGTTGAAAAGCACTTATCTCAGTTCCTTCCGAATGGGTAAAATGGCGAAGGGGAAGACCCCCATCGTATCTTCGACTAGCAGAAGCACCAAAACAAACAAAAAAAGCCTGCAGTGGTCCAAGTGTCCCCGCTTTCGCCTTGAAATTTACCTACTTCTTCCCGTTGGTCCCTTTTTGGTTACTTGAGATCACGTAGGTTTGCAAAAAGCAGTCACATAAATAACCTTTTCAGTCACCAACGCAATGTGATCACTAGTCCACCCAACTCTTATTTTTATGATGACAATAAAACACGTTTTTGCCCTGTCCCAAATGCCGCAGACCAGCCCGCGGCCGCCCGACACCGTACCGTTGGCGACTCAGGTCGATCCATCATGGCTGCGGCCGCTTACCCTGCTTTTCAGTCCCTGAGCCTTGTGGTCCTCCTCCCTTTGGCTGCCCTGTTTATATAGAGCCATTGCCGCTCTCTAATATAGACTCTGCCAGGATGGGAAGGTGCTTTTCAGTCCTACGTCACCGCCTCTCCATTTAAACACCAGATCCGGCTTTAAATAGTGAGAGCTGCTGAGAGCGGGGCTGGGAGGTGCGTGCTCCCGAGGCGAGAGCCAGGCGCGTGCAGAGCTCAATTTATTTCTAGGTCCTTTTTTCACGCTGTAAATTTCTCATCCGTCGGGGGCTGCTTTCAGAGCCCCAAGTTTTGGTTTTGTTCCTAGCAGCAGCCAGGATTTGCCTTCTTTGTTTGCTAGGGGAAATATATCCGAATCGCTGTCCCTTTTTATTTTGTTTACAGTTTCCAAAATTTATAATTTAAAACAAAGAGTTTTAGATCAGATGGTCTAGCCATTTTTCTTGTGTGCATTATTTTCGGGAATTTAAAAAACTGTTTTCTACATTGAAAGTTAGCTGCAGAGGACTCGGTTTTGGTAGTGTTTTGTTTAAGTATTCAGGAAATATGTTAGAAATATAGCTCCCAATATTTCATTATGTTTTCCTATAGTAAATATAAAAGACACGAGGCTTTTCAGAGAAATAGATAAGTACCTAAAGCTTCAGTATAGGACCATTTATATGTAGGAGAATCATGAGTAATTAGAGGGAAGAGACATGCTGCAAACTGGATTAAAAAAAATTCTAAGTAGAACTTTATTGCCTTGGATATTAACATGGGTATCCAGTGTAAACATTATTCCAATTTATCTTCCAGCATTGCATCAGGGAATTAACATTTTTGAAGGAAACCTTCTAACAAATCACTTAATGCCACTAGTGGCCCTCTTATTTACCAGTTCTTAAATTTGAAATAACCTGTTTTTTAAAAATCAGGATAAACCTAAATTGTATTTCGTGAAAGATAGAAACTTTGCCTGAAATATAGCGTAGAATTTTAAGTAATAATTTAGAAATTGCTTGTTTCAAATACTACCTATGTGCCCACATACTTTTCAAAAATTATCTTGAGGGCTTTTCAAATTGTGAACAATTCTGCTAAATTACTTATTAGGCATGTATTTTGTGAAGAGTACACATTTCCCTTCCTTCAACTATAGAGCTTGTGAAGCTGTCAAGTGGTCAAGTTGTGAGTTCATTAAGACACAAAAATAAAATCTTAAAGAATGATTCATTAAGTAGAGAGTACTAGAAGAAAGCAGATTTATACCTATACGTGTCTGGGTCTCCAAGCAAAAGGTTTTTAGAGGTAACTGACTTCAGAAACACCAAAACACCGTCTAGTTTACTGAAAAGCATACATATTGTCAATTTGAGATTGATACTCCCAATTTAAAATATATTGCCCTCCTAATGTCTTGAGGAGTCATTGTTGGTTAAAACACACACACACACTTTACAGAGATACTTTTGTAATTCAGTTAAGTCACTTTAGGCAAGATGATGTCCATAGTCAGATATACTTTTCTTATATATAGAATTAGAATGTTAAAGTAGGGACTATAGAAATGTGCATTTTACAGATGAACAAACTTCAAGAGGAGGATTTGGCAAAATAAAGCAGGTTAGTGAGTGAAAAACAGTTAAGCAAGAACCCGGATATTTGAATTGGTTTTCTTGTAATGAGAAGGACTAAATAGTTTTTAATGGTTGAGGTAAATTGTACTGACAAACTCATTTGTATTTTGTTTGTTTTCTGAGACAGGGTCTGGGCCTGTCACCCAGGCTGGAGGGCAGTGCTACAATCTTGGCTCACTGCATCCTTTCCCTTCTGGGCTCAAGCCATCCTCCCACCTCAGCCTCCCAAGTAGCTGGGACTACGGGCACGTGCCACTATTCCTGGCTAATTTTTTGTATAGACTGAGTTTCACTGTGTAATCCAAACTGGTCTTGAACTCCTGAGCTCAAGCGATCCTCCCAAAATGCTGGGATTACAGGTCATTGCAACTGGCCTCATGTAGTTTTCACAAGACAAGGACATATTTTCTTAGCAGTTCCCCTGTGTCACAGTGTTGCTGATAGAGATGGTAGTGAAACACATATTTCTGTTTGAAGTTTGCTCATGAGAACAAACACTTGGTTTTTTTTGGTAGCCATTTTAACCTTAAGCAAGGTATGAAACACAAGTAATGAGAAGACATCTAAAAAGCTTGTTAACCATAACTCTCTGATAATGGGTAGGATTTATAACCTGGCAACTCTAGTTTTGTCAAGGCAGCTCTAGTTTTGTCATCTGACATGACTTCCTTTTGTCTTACAGGTTAAAAATAGGATGTAGATTGGGCTAATTGTTCTATCTCCCACCTTGTAGTTTTTAAACAATTTTTATTTTTTGGAAGTTCTTTCACATCTATTCTCATTTTGCCCATTTTACCATTCAACCTTCTAGAAGCCAGCTCCTTTACTTCCCGCTCCTCCTTCAAGTAATACCAACAGTGCTAATTATAATAATAATAATAATAATAAAAAACATTTAGAGGGTTTATGTTCATTATAATGTTTCGTAGCATTATCTGGGCAGTAGTAGAGGAGAAATTCTGGGAAGGAAATGAGTGTACTTTGTTTCTTTGGGACCTTGAGACCTGTCATTGTGGGTGTGTGAGTAGTTTAATGGTATAGCTTGAAAGTACAGACTGGGTCACACAACAGAAGTTAGGTGATTTTTAAACCTGAATGTTCATTAGGTTGCAGATTATTACCAGGCAGATGACTCCCGGACATAAGGTTCTCCAAAGTCTTAAGATTTAGTGGTGAGGTAGTAAAACATACAACAGAGTTCAAACCAAGCATGGAATAGTAGAAGCCAGACGTAAGCAACCCCTGAAGCTGTTATTGAACATACATTAGATATTTTGACTATAACATAGGAAATTATAATTGAAAATTGTATGGACCTTGTAGGCATAGGGACCTTCTGTTTATGAATTGCATTAATCTTAAAATTTTTATTAAAGTATGCAGTCATCAGATCCAGTTTATGGCAAATGATGGTGGTCGTATCTTTAAATTCATATGTAGTTAGTTGGCAAAATGACTATTATATTTGTTTTGAATTATACATTGTAACCTGTGAAAAACTGTCTTTATCAAGTCTTTTATTTTTCCTTTAAAGCCTAAATTATACAGATCTGTGATTGAAGATGTCATTAATGACGTGAGAGACATCTTTCTGGATGATGGAGTGGATGAACAAGTACTGATGGAACTAAAAACTGTGAGTTTGTCTTTTTAAAAATATTCCTACTTTTTCACCCCAAATAATTTTCTTTAGTCAGAGATGAATCTGTAATTTTTCTGTAGGGTGAACGTATAGTTTAGTGAAGTGTGCTGATTTTAAATCCCAACTGTACCATGCATTCTTCCTCTGACCTTAGGCAAGCTACATTTATATTTCAGTTTCTTTACATGTAAGATGGAAATTGGTAGTATTTACCTTATAGGTTTGTTTTGAGGATTAAATGGAATAACCATATAAAATCTTAGCACAATGCCTGATAGTAGCATTAGCAGTTATTATTGGATAGTTAACATTCTACATTTTAGGATCTAATTACTTGACATGCCTGGAAGAGTTTTCTTGCTTTCTTTTTTCTTTTCTTTTTTTTTTTTTGTTTTTGAGACAGGGTCGGGCTCTGTCGCCCAGCTGGAGTGCAGTGGCACAATCTGGACTTACTGCAACTTCCGCCTCCCAGGCTCAAACCATCCTCCCACCTCTGCGACTACAGGCACATGCCAGCATGCCTGGCTAATTTTTGTATTTTTGGTAGGGATGGTTTTCACCATGTTGTCAAGGCTGCTTTCGAACTCCTGGCTGCAAGTGATCCTCCCGCCTCGGCCTCCCAAAGTGCTAGGATTATGGACGTGAGACACAGTGCCCAGCCTTAATTTTGCCTTTTTTTAATGGTCTTAATGTACCTGTATTCTAAGTGTGTTTTAAGTTGTAGGGAGTGAGTGCTTGATAAAAGAATTTTAGGTTCTTGAAGTAGACCCTTTATGTAGGCCAAATGTTTTAAATATATTTTACATTAAGAGCTGGTTTTCTGTATCTTGGATTTAAGCAGAAATATTTAGATTTTTTTTATTGGCAGTTGTGTTTTCCTTGCAGTGTAATGACTCATGAGATTGTGGAATATTTTTGCCCTGTTGATTAGAATAGTGGTTTTCAAGGTACATAGTTCATGGAGTCCTGGGTTCTCCCCAAGGGTTCTTTCCAGGGGTCCACAAGGTTGACTAAATGCTCAAGTCTGGAAAATCATAGTTTGCCTTCATTCTTTCAAGTAAAAGTTGTATTCTGTGAGAAAAGTGGCCAGTTAAATTCACAACTCAAGTGCACAGATGCTTTTCCTTGAGATAACTGTAAATAAGCAGCAGAAATGCTGTATGCATACTTCTCATTTCTGAATATTAAAAAGATATGGACTCAGTGTTGATACTAAGAAATTTGATTGTTTGATTTTCTGTAATGAAGTGTGTTTACATTCGAAAGATCCATATAATTCATTGAACTTGTATTTTCTGAATGTCCAATGCATAATGTTGGAAAATTCATTCAAAATGCAAGATAAATTAATGAACTTTAACAGTATGAAAAGTTCATAGTTATATGGTTTCATATTCTGCATTGTAACTAACTTGTAAGAAACTATCACTTAAAAGTACCTTTTCTTTTCCTACCTACTTAACTGTAGGAAGGCAGATTTTCTTTGTATACCTCACCCAAAACAAAGCGAAAACACAGGCAGATATGAGAATCTAGCTATTTTCCTTTAAGTCGTTTGTCATTCTCACTCAATTTTATTTACTAAAATATGACTATTTTCAAAAACTGTTATTTATGTTAACATATAATGGATCCATTATTTCTAAACAAATTAGTAAACATTAAACATTTGTTATAATTTCTGTTACTATAAATATAGGGGGGTGTAATTCACATACAGAAAAGCTCTTTGAGGGTCTCAGTAACTTTTTAAAGTGATAAAGCACCCTGAGATGAAAGAGTTTTAGAACTGCTGGTTCAGAAGTTGAGTATTAAGCTCCTTTAAGTCTATGTACAAATAAATAATCACAGTTAATAAATGTTAAGGAACATTTGTTGTGGTTTTATTTATCCAACATAGGTGTGGAGGCTGCAGCTTGGCAACCAGTTTATTTTACGTAAAGCAAATCTCACCTTGATTGTGGTGATGAAGCAGGTCTTGATGTATTTATTAATAGATATCTGCAGGAAACTTCTCTAGAATTTTCAATAAGAATATTCTTGTGTGAGGAGTTTCAGACCAGCCTGGCCAACATGGTGAAACCCTATCTCTACTAAAAATACAAAAAGTATCTGGGCATGGTGGTACGTGCCTGTAATCCCAGCTACTGGGGAGGCTGAGGCAGGAGTATGGCTTGAACCCAGGAGGCGGAGGTTGCAGTGAGCCAAGATCGTGCCACTACACTCCAGCCTGGGTGACAGAACAAGACTCTGTCTTGGAAAAAAACAGAAACAAGAATATACCTATGTGAGGTAAGAAAAATATATAGGTGTGAAACAGATGAACAAATATGTATTTACCTTGAGAAAAATGTAAGGGTTACTAATAGTGAAGAGTAGGTATCTAAAAATATAAGTGTAAGAGTACTAATTCTGAGACATGAGTTGGAAGAACAACAATATAAATTGTTCAAGTAGCATGAAGTAACTGAGGGATGTGAATAATAAGAAAACAAGCTTATTTTGATTCCTTAGTGTAACGTGGAATGAGTTTTTTGCAATTTATACTTTTATAATTGTTGTCCTTGTAGTTTTGTGACCTTGTATAGAAAATGCAGCATTTTTAGGTGTAGAAAATCAGTTTTAAAGATGTTAGGTAATTTTCTCTAGGTCAAATTCTAGTGGTCAGTCTGGGTTGTTATCTACTCTTGCTTTTCATAATGAAAATCTGGAGAATTTATTTTTCCTATCTTTAACAGTAGAATCGAGACGTTCTCTTGAAGAGAATGAGCTATCTTTGAGACCAAATGTTTCCACCTCCATTTTTATTATATATGACTTTTTTGGTACATATTTTATAGGTAACACACTGATTTTTAGTTTAATACTTAGGTTTTAATGGCAAAAAATGTGACCTACTCAACTTTGAATCCCCAGCTTCTACCGCAATGTCTGGGCATATGTGGTTGGCATTCAGTAAGTATTTGATTGAACTGTTTGATAACAGATATGGCACCTGAATCTAACTGAACAAAATAGTGTAATATTCTTGTTGTTTTTAAATGGGCCATACTCTTCTATCTGGGTTGTATTGAAGTTAAAAATAAAACTGTTAGACTAAAATGAGTTTATTTTAATTCTCTGCACTGGATTTCTTCAGGATCTCATTAGAATTTCTAGAATATGCCCTAGATTTAACAGCTGGACAGCCAGCATTGTCCAATAGAACTTTCTGCAGTGATGAAAGTGTTCTGTATCTGTACTCTTCAGTAGGGTAGCCGCTATCCACATGTGCTTATTAAGCGCTCAAAATGTGGTTGGTGGAACTGAGCAACTGAATTTTAATTAATCTAAACCTAAATCACTACATATGGCTAGTTGCTGCCATATTGGACTGCTCAGGTTTAGACATTCTTGCTTAATAAAACGAACTTTAATTTCGTATTTTATGGTTTAGAAACACTGGCATTATTAGCTCTAGCCCCTCTCCCCACTTTTTGGGGCCATTTTACAAACTTATCAAAAGCTTATATAAGGCTATAAAGGAGGCAGTGGTGAATTAGATTGAGGACAAAGATGAATGATGAGAATGCATGTAATTTGAGGGTTAATGAGGTAATGCAGAAAGGGAGATGAAAAGAATATTTCAACCCAGTCGTTGAGGTTATCTCTTGAACCACTGCGGGCCTACGTTAATGTGTAAACTATGAGAGGTAGAAAAAACAATAAAATACAGCCCTGGTTTTCAGTAAATCTATATTTGAATATAAATGTGTTTTGGATTGATGAGTGTCTATGGGTGGGAATGACACTGTAGAAATTCTGTTCAAAGTGAATGATAAAATCAGCCAGATTTCTAGATTTTCCGACCTGCCTATGTCCAGACATCAAGTTCTGTGGGAGATATAAAACATTTTTTCTCTTTTTAATAAAACAAATAAAATGAAAAGAGTTGCCTCAATTGGAAGTATATCTGAAATTCAGTTTATCTGCCTCTGGTTCAGATTTCTCAACATTGGCATTATTGACATTTTGCACCAGTTAATTCTTCGTTGCAGGGGCTGTCCTATTAATTGTAGGATGTTAGCAGCACAACTGGCCTCTGCCCACTAGATGCCAGTAGCACCCTTTAGTTGTATCCAAAAATGTCTCTAGACATTGCCAGATGTCGCTGGGGGGCAAAACCACCTCTGGCTGAGAACCACTATTCTAAATATACTCTAGCTGTATACATAAAAAGTACTTGATATACTCTAATTATATATAAATATTTGGACCATAAGTTGAATAATAATCTACTATTTCATTTCATTTACTCTTAGGGAAAGCTCTGTTTCTTCAGCATTGTTTCTTGGGAACCCAGAAGTGTAATATATTTTATCCAGGAGCTAGATGTTTCGTGAAAGTAGGAGAATCCTTCAGAATTTCTAGCCCACCATGTTGCCAGGTTTAGCCCCCTAACCTCTGGGCTTGTGATGTGAGGGGCTGCAATGCAGGTCTTTGATATGGCCTGGAGACATTTTCTCCATGGTCTTGGGGATTAACAGTAGGGAAGCAGTAAGGGGATTAACTTGGGGAGCAGTAAGTCCCCTTATCTATAAAATCTCATGATTTTATATTCCAAGTAGACTTGGAATGTGCTTTGACAAAGTTATTTAGCTAATAAATGATAGTGTCACGAACCTAGCCCTTTTGCATCCATGTGACATATACAGTACTTAGCTGTAGGAAGGAAGGTAAGAGAGTTTTGACTAGATCTTGGGTTGTTGGTGGGTGGCACCTGAGATGGTTTTGAGGGTTGGCGACCTGCTCTGATAGCAGCAGTCCAGTTGAGAGACTAGGAATTTGAACTAGTACTGGGATTAAAGGGAGGCAAGTGAGGGTCCTGGGGTGCAGAATACAAAGAGACATTCACTCTCTAGCCCTGACTGGGACATTGGAGTCAGACCACCTGGTTTATATCCCTATTCTGTCTGCCATTAGTTAGAGTGATCTTGGATAAGCTACCTAACTTC